AAAGTACAGGTGGGTGGGGACAAATCAGCAACAGCGAAGACCTGCAGGCTATCGGCATCTGTACAGGAAGAGACAGGAGAAACAAATGGGACATCTGATGGACCTGGGAAGAAGAGAACCCCAAAGTAGCCGATCTGAATCCACTGCACAGCACACTGGACCATTCTGAGAACAGAAGCTGAAAGTGGGAGCGACTTCGCCTGAGCCAATAGCCCAGCCGTGGGCAAACTACGGCCTGCGGGCCGGATCCGGCCCGTTTGAAATGAATAAAACTAAATTTGTTATGACAGCCAAGTGATAAGGTACCCCTCAAATCCCAAAGTACAGGTGGGTGGGGACAAATCAGCAACAGCGAAGACCTGCAGGCTATCGGCATCTGTACAGGAAGAGACAGGAGAAACAAATGGGACATCTGGTGGATGTCCTGGGAAGAAGAGAACCCCAAAGTAGCCGACCTGAATCCACTGCACAGCACACTGAACCATTCTGAGAACAGAAGCTGAAAGTGGGAGCAACTTCGCCTGAGCCAATTAGCCACATGTGGCTACAGAGCGCTTGAAATGTGGCTAATCTGAACTGAAATGTATGTAAGTATAAAACACTCGGTGTACTTCAAAGACTTAGTATGGGAAAAAAAGAATGTAAAAGATCTCAATTTTCCTATATTGATTACATATTGAAATAAAATATTTTTGACATAATGGATCAAATAAAATATATTAAAATTAATTTTACTTTTTTCTTTTTACATTTAAAAAATCTGGCTGCTAGAAAAATTTAAGTCCCATTTGTGGCTCACATTAAAATTTTATTAGTCAATGCTTCTTCTCTAGATCACTCTGGTGGCAGTCTGCCTCAAAGTCAAGGGCAATTCTTTTGAGTGGGAAGCCATATAAAATGAAAGCACACAGTACAAACTTGTACAATAGTTTAGGGTATTATTTCTGAATAACATATACCTTACTATTACCAGCCTGTGAAACTTGCCTCTGGGAATGTATTAATGTTTTGAAGGAGAAGGTGGAGGGGAAGAAAAAGAGGAAAGAGAGAGGAAGGAGAGGGAGACAATGGAGCAAACTGGTAATTTCTGTTATCTTTCCTATTCAGGAGCCAGGGCTTCCGAAAAATAAGCTTTTAAAGGAAACATTGTAGATGATTTCTTCTTTAACGTAAAATATTGGGAGCATATTTAATGCAAATAATTTCTGCCATGATTTTTATTTAAGACCATTACACTTCACGTTGGTGTACGTCTCTGTAAATATATACACTCATGGGCTCCAACGCTTATTTTGGCTTTGTGTATTTGCTCCTTTGGAATCAAATAATTAGTACTTGGAGGCCTCTGCTGTTTCAAAGCACCAAAGTCAGGGGTATCAGTGGTAGACACAGCTGTGTATCTCAAATATGTCTCAAGATGCTGCCTTATATAATCCCACCAAGTATTCCATGCTGCTTCGTCACCATAGCAACCAGAACCCTGCAAGCACTTGGGCTTTGATCATTTTTCTGACAGTATTCAAAGCTATTTCTAACACTTCATTACTACTGTAACTACATGCAACAGCTATTTTAAGCACAACACCATTCATTCTACCCATTTCTCACTCTCTGGACTATGATTCCTTACACAGTAAGTGGAAAGAAGTTTATTTATCATGCACATATTATCAGAAGGTATTTTCAGGAAGAAAAAAAAGCTCCATTAAGACAGTCACAGCTGGGAAATTGAAGTCTCTGACAACTTGGATGAATGGCTTAATGTAAGGTGAAAATACGTATCTTTGAGAGTAAAAAGAGAATTTATTATACCCAAATAAGACATTATATAGAAACTCTAGGCCTTTCATGCACTGAAATGCACTTTCTCACTTTGTACATAAAGAGTTAAAAAGTCTAGGTGAGAGGGAACATGAGGGGTTGCCAAGGTGCTATATGTTTTATTTCTTTATCCAATTACCAGCCACATGGATGTATTCAGTCTGAAAAAAAATACCCTTAGGTATACTTTCCTACAAGTACATTACAATGCAATAACAAGTTTAATCACCAGTTTGTGAACTCAAGAAAGAAAGAGAAAACAAATAGGAAAGCAAGCCAAAAGATAAGCTCAAACAATGCAAGGAATGCCAGGAAAGAGGGCCAATGTTAAAAGCTGACGCTATCCCAGCTGGATTCCCACTTCACCCCATTTTCCCAAGTGCAAACGCTGGTCCAGAACCACTGCCAATGTATTTCTTGTTCTCTATAAGCACTGTGATCCTGATTCCTATTCAGACCAACACAAATGTAAAAAACAAAAAAAACAACACCCTTCTTTTAATTATTCCCAAAGAAATCTTCTCGATTTCAAAAGAAATGCCCAAAACCTAGTCAATATTTGAAAGTAGAACGGTGTTTAATTTATATGCTCAAAGAGCTTTGGACCAGAATTGGAGAGCAGTGTGGAGCATGCCACCCGCGTCTCCAACCCCCATCATGGGGAACTCGGTCACAGACCTGTGGAACTCATAAACAGAGGCCTTTCCCACTGCTTTCCAATCAAGGACTAATACTGAACAAAACACTTATAAACATTTATATAAACAAGCACAGAAAATACACAACTCAAGTGCACCAGACACTGAGAAAATCAGCACCCCCCAGAAGGAAGAGACCAAATGTGCATAAGAGCAAACAGGACTCATCACATTTACTAGTATTTAATACAGAATTTTTGACAAAAAAATATTATTTAAAATATATTGTTTTTACATTTAACTACATATCATAGGCAACTTTTCATTTACATCTTCACCAAAATATTTTTCAATAGTTTTATACATACAGTGAGTATATATAAAATGAATTTTCTTTAAAAGTGAAAAGAAAAAGAAAGAGCCAAAGTACTAATCTCTCAGTAAATTATAGAACTGCACTGCCACTGGCCACATTCCTCTCAAACAAAAACCCCAAAACAATCAGAGGATATATACTTATTCACCACAGATACATATTTTTTTTAATGTATTTTATTGATTTTTTTACAGAGAGGAAGGGAGAGGGATAGAGAATTAGAAACATCGATGAGAGAGAAACATCGATCAGCTGCCTCCTGCACACTCCCCACTGGGGATGTGCCCGCAACCAAGGTACATGCCCTTGACTGGAATCGAACCTGGGACCCTTGAGTCCGCAGACTGACGCTCTATCCACTGAGCCAAACCGGTTAGGGCCAGATACATATTTTTGTAGAAATAATTAAGCTTGTTTAAACTGAAAGAGGGCCCTTCACATAATACCTAGTTTTTAAAAAAGCAGTACTGCAAAAAGCACTGATATAAAATGGCAAGATGAAACACGTCAGGCATATGGTACACAAATTTGAGACATGAGAAGATGCTCAACATCATTAGTCATTAGGGAAATGCAAATCAAAACTCATGTGTGGACATAAAACTGAAACTCATAGACACAGGCAGACAACAGTATGGTGATTATCAGAGGGAAGGGCATGGGGGGTAGTAAAGGGTAAAGGACCAAATATATGGTGATGGAAGATGGTTTGACTCTGGGTAGTGGTCACACAGTGCAATATACAGATCATGTATCATAGAAATTGACACTTGAAACCTATATGACCCTATTAACCAATGTCACCCTAAAAATTTTAATAAAATTTAATAAAACCCACAATGAGATACCACTTCACACCCCCTTCGATGGTTATCATACAAAAGACAGACAATAACAATTGTTGGTGAAGATGCGAAGAAAATGGAACCCTCATTCACTGCTGGTGATGTAGTCTCTTTGAAAAACAGTCTAGAAGTTCTTCAAATGTTAAATATAGAGTACCATATAACCCAGCAATTTTTCCCCTAGGTATATTTACTCATGAGAACTAAAAATATATGTCCACATAAAAACTGTGTACACAAATGTTCACAGTAGTATTATTCATAGCAGGCAAAAAGGGAAAATAATTCAAACATTCATCAACAGATGACTAGAAAAACAAAATATGGTAAATCTGTACAATGGAATATTAATCTGTAATTAAGAGGAATGACGTACTGATACATGTTACTACATAGATGAACCTCAAAAAATACTCTATTTTGTGAAAGAAGCCAATCACAAAAGACCACATATTGTATGATTCTACTTATATGAAATGTCCAATATGTAAATCCATAGAAACAGAAAGTTGATTAGGGGGTTAGGAACTGGGGACAATGGAGAGTCACTGCTAATGGGCATGGGGTTTCTTTTGGGGTGATTACTGTTCTAAAATTAGATTATGATGATAGTGGCACAACTCTAAGTATACTAAACCATATAATTGTAAACTCTGAATGGGTGAATTTTTATTGTATGAAATATAGCTCTATAAATTGGAGGGAGAGAAGAAAAAGCAGGGCTGAGAGATTTAAATAGAACAAAACAGTACAAAATTATTTACCCACTACACACAGGAACACATCAACAAAGACATGTGGACAAAAGTGCATATAGCTTCTGCTGCCAATCTGTTCAGGGCATGCACAGCTAAACTAAAAATAACACTGCCTAAAACACTCAGTCATTACTGTAGTCAACAGATATTTTATCCAAAGAAAAAGAAAGAATAAAAGAAACAAGCAAATAAACAAGTGTACAAAGACTGCAACAGGAGAGAGGCCCACATTCACCTGCATTATGCATTTGTAGGCTCCTTAGCCCTCCATACCCCAATGTGTAAGATCAGATGTAAATCGGGTATAATGTGGACTAATGTATATAAAAGCATGGAACAAGAGCGCTCCTTAACTCAAGTACAACACTAAGTTACCCTCTTTTCCTATTGTTTTTTCATCTGAGAATGAAGAAACAGTGTCAAAGAAAAAAAGCATGGTCACTTCTAGTACAGGTACTGATGCAATATTCTATCCATAACTTTCAGAAAGGTACCATACTTCAGCCATGGGGGAAAATACACAGAACTAGAGAAAAATTTAAGGTATCAGCAGTCCACTAACCTTAACCCATTGAACAGTTGCTTAGATTTATCCAGAAGATAACAAAAATCAGTGACTGTTTTCCTCTCTCCCTGTGGGATGTCATCTTCAGCACCTCCAGAGGACATGATTTCTTTAAGAGCAAATTCAGTCCTGTAAGAAAACATATGTCCATTAACCAAGAAGGTGAAAATAAAAAGAGAAACAGACCTTAGCTATACCATCTGATAACACTTTTTTTCAAGATGGAGAATTCTTCTGATTACATGCAAGCCATCAGATAATTTAAATGTACGATGGTGTGGGAGACCAGATAATCTCGTATTATCGGTGGGACTGAAAATTGTTACATCCATATTGGAAAGAGAGTTTTAGAATATTCTTTCATCCAATAAGTATTGTTTGAAGGACTATTACATTCCAGGCACTCCTTTACATGGTTCAGAATGAAAAAATGTGTTTTTTTTAACCTAGTTATCTATTTGTTCCATTCTACAAATCCATTCAGGAAAATAATCCTACAAATGGAAAACATAGGTATCATGTCTTCTTTATCCATTTGTCTATTGAGGGACATATTTTGTCTGTTGTAAATAATGCTGCAATGGACATAGGGGTGCATATATCTTTTTGAATTAGTCTTTCGATTTCTTTGGATAAATACCCAGAAGTGGGATTGCTGGGTCACATAGTAGTCCTGTTTTTAACTTATTCTTTTTTATTTTTAAATTACAGTTGACATACAATATTATATTAGTTTCAAGTGTACAATTTTAATTTTTTGAGGAATCTCCATACTATTTTCCATAGTAGCCACACCAGCTTACAATCCCACAACAGGGTTGTCTGATCTCTCATCCCAATGCTTAAATCTCATGGGTTCTGCCTCTCTTTTCCCTTAAATCGAGATAATAGTATTTAAGCCACCCTCTCCAGTAATTAGAAATCACTCTTTGAAAAACATTACAAAACCCAAAAGATTCACTAAAGTCAATTTTTAAAAATGAACTTTGGCTATCAGATCATATCTACTTGTCAAAGAATGATTCTAATTATTAGATATTTGACTTTGGGAGTGTTATTGAACCTTTCTAAGCTTTTGGATTTCCTCAATTCCAGAATGGGAATTATAATATTTACCCTTCATACAGGTATTAATAAGATTCAATTAGATCATATTCATAACATTATAGTCCAGAAAGGGCACATTGTTAATAAAAGGCAACAAATATTAAAACTGGTAATTCTGGGTGTTGGGATACAACAGTGAAGAAAACAGGCAATACACAGAGTGTATTTTCTAGTGGAGAGACAAAAATTTAAAAATATAATATCCAGGTGGTAAGATGTAGTATGAGGAAAATACAGCAGGAAGGGAGACAGTGTGATTGGGTGTAATGTTTTAGTTAGGATAGATAAGGTGATACTGAGAAGGTGACACATGAGCGGAGACCTGGGTGAAGTGAAGGAGTGAGCAAAGTAGAGAAGAGGGAAGTTCAGGCTCCAGGTGCAGGGAACAAGAACAAGGTGCTGAGGCAGGTATATACAAACGGTTTTATCGATAAATAAAACACTTAAAAAAAACAACCCACCAGCTCTTTCTAAATAAATTAATATGAATAAGATTCATGATACTGCTTTTCAAGTACCACAAAAAGGAGACAGAGTAGACAAACCCAGATGCGGATTTCCCACGTCCAGCATCCTGGTGCGGGCTCAACCTGCCCTTGCAGGTATGCCTTTTTCTGACTGACAGTCCACCTAGAGCAGTGGTTCTCAACCTTCCTAATGCCGCGACCCTTTAATACAGTTCCTCATGTTGTGGTGACCCCCAACCATAAAATTATTTTTGTTGCTACTTCATAACTGTAATTTTGCTACTGTTATGAATCGTAATGTAAATATCTGATATGCAGGATGTATTTTCATTGTTACAAATTGAACATAATTAAAGCATAGTGATTAATCACAAAAACAATATGTAATTATCTATGTGTTTTCCGATGGTCTTAGGCGACCCCTGTGAAAGGGTTGTTCGACCCCCAAAGGGGTCGCGACCCATGGGTTGGGAACCGCTGACCTAGAGGGACTGCCTTTTTCTGATTTGCACATAGGTACCGTATAGGCCACCTGTGGCCCCTACAGGACTTCCCCTCCAATAGAATTTATTGGCTCTACAATCATCAAAGTGGTGTTAATAAGCCTGTCAACTCAGAAATGGAAACGGACTAATTAAGTTGGACTAGGTTCTATAATGACATTCATTAAAAAGGACTTTTGGCCGAAACCGGTTTGGCTCAGTGGATAGAGCGTCGGCCTGCAGACTGAAAGGTCCCAGGTTCGATTCCGGTCAAGGGCATGTACCTGGGTTGCGGGCACATCCCCAGTGGGAGATGTGCAGGAGGCAGCTGATCGATGTTTCTCTCTCATCGATGTTTCTAACTCTCTATCTCTCTCCCTTCCTCTCTGTAAAAAATCAATAAAATATATTTAAAAAAAAAAAAAAGGACTTTTGATGTGATATAATCCCAACTTTCATTGTCCTTATCTTGATATCGATAAAAAGAAATCAATCTAATAAGTTAAAATAAGGCCATGTGACATACACTGAATCTAGATTCTAAAACCCAGGTATAAGTCCCAATTGTGCTGTTTTCCCCCAAAGTCACACAGCTGATGGTTTAACTGAACTTAGCTTCCTCATTTGTAAAGTGAGGATAATGAATGCTGCCCTCTCTCACTAGGCCCATGGTCGGCAAACTGCAGCTCTCGAGCCACATGCGGCTCTTTGGCCCCTTGAGTGTGGCTCTTCCACAAAATACCACAAAATACTACGTGCAGGTGTGCACATACAATGCGATTGAAACTTCGTGGCCCATGCACAGAAGTCGGTATTTTGTGGAAGAGCCACACTCAAGGGGCCAAAGAGCCGCATGTGGCTCTCGAGCCGCAGTTTGCCGAGCCGCAGTTTGCCAACCACTGCACTAGGCTATTGTGATCAATTCTGTTCCAATGTAACCATATCATCTTATTAAGATATCCAGTAAGAAAGTAAAAAAGCAAAATGCAATTATATTATAATAAACATAGACAATGTTTTTATTAAGAAGAAAGACACGGGGGAGAGACCAAGATGGCGGCATAGGTAAACACCGCAGACTGCTGCCGCAAACAACCACTTCAAAAATACAACTAAAAGACGGAACGGACATCACTCAGAACCACAGTTAAGAGATCAACTGAAGGACTTATATGCATGCATATAAGAATAACCAATGGACACAAGACACTAGGGGGTAGGGGAGGCCGGGGGAATGTCAAGTGCCGGGGAAAAAGGAGACATATGTAATACTCTTTGTAATACTTCAAGAAATAAAAATTATTAAAAAAAAAAGAAAAGAAAAAAGACCATAGACTTTAAACTAAAAAGCATTGAAAAAATCAAATAAATAACACCAGGCTTCCACATCCTATCCTATATAATAAAAGGGTAATATGCAAATAGACTGAACAGCAGAACAACCGAACCAATCAAAGCATAATATGCTAATGATATGCTAACCCTGCTCACTATGACATGCACTGACCACCAGGGGGCAGATGCTCCAACTGATAGGTTAGCTTGCTGCTGGGGTCTGGCCGATCGGGACTGAGTACGATGGGCCAGACACTCCCTGGAGCCCTCCTGCGATTCCTCCCCGGCCCAATCGTGCACTGGTGGGGTCCCTCAGCCTGGCCTGTGCCCTCTTGCAATCCAGGACCCCTCAGGGGATGTCGGAGAGCCAGTTTCAGCCCGATCCCGCAGGCCACTCACCTTGGGAGGGTGCCAGATGCAGGACTCATGGCTGGCGAGCGTTACTGCGGCAGCACGAGCCTCTCCTGATCAGGGACTGATTGGGTACGAGCCCACAGCAGGCACAGTGGGGCCGGAATGAGTGGGAGCAGCAGGTAGGAGCTGCAGGCGGCGTTGGACTACAGGTTTCAGCCCGATCCCTGCAGGCCACCCAGAGGGACCCCACCTGTGCATGAATTTGTGCACCAGGCCTCTAGTTAAAAAATAAAATTCTCTGCTGCTGAGTAGTTCCAGCTGTTCCTGCTGCTTATCACTACCGAGAGGTCAGAATGTGCTGTGGTGAGGACGTACATACAAAGACAGACAGTACTGCTGACGGAGGATTTCTTACGAGAGGACCCGTGTCAAGTTGCCAGAGTCCTCCTCTCGTCTGGGTTGACAATTATTCTTGTCAGGACTCTACTCTTGGCAAACTCAAGGCCTGTCCTTAAAAACAAGGGGTAGTTATTGGGGCAGTTATTCTGTAGCCAAGTACTTGACTCACACAGCTCAGCTGTCTTATATCATAGTTCTTCCAGTACATCCATCATCTCCTTACTAAACTGTAAGCTACCTGAAAGCAGTAGCTGTCTGAAAAAACTTTCTGTAAAGCGCCTGTGAATACTGTCCCCAGATAATTCCAAAATACGAACTGATCAAAGGCAGTGAAAAAGTTTGTGTTCCTGCCATATGACAGGCATTGTTCCAGGTGCTGGGAGACACTGTGTGCGTGTGTGCGTGTGTCCATGAATTTATTTATACCAAAGATGGCTGAAAGTGACTGTGGCAGGGACTTGAGAATCTGCAAAAGCTGGGAATGTTCGTAACTGAAATCCAGGAAGGAATGAATGCCAAGTAGCTGTCACTAAGAGAATGAAAAAGGCAAATGTTCAACCTTCTGAGAAAGAAGTCTGATTATCATCAGATTGGTGGTGTGGTATGTGAGGAACCGACAAGTTTTTTGTGAAGAAAAGGAAACCCCTCAAATTCCCAAAGCCTTAGCCAGATGCTGACCTAAAACTATGCGGATTAATTATCAGGAGACTCCAGAGGGTCAGCGTGTATTCTACAAAGACAGGTATGTTTGGGGCCCGCATAGAGACCACAGAGCAGAGTGCTTAAGCGCATTGACAAGAAACCGCCTGCACTCAACTCCTGGCTCCACCAGTCACTACTCAAACATAACTGCAATCTCGGCCATGCTATTTAACCTCTTTGTGCCCTGACTTCCCTATGTGTAAAACAGGATAAAAACAGGATCTGCTACTTAGGATTTTCATGAAGATTAAGTGAGAATGTACAGAGAGTTCAGAAGAGAGCC